ACTCAGCATGGCAACAGAAAGCAATATCGCAAACAACAAAACAACTTTGGGAACGAAATGGACTCTTTACGGATTTTCAAAACTGGACAATATATCGGATAACAATTGGAGCTCTCAATCCGTTTCATGAAGGATACCTCTGTCGGCATTGCTGCCACTACGCTGGTAAATCCAACTTGGAGGGGAAGGGGCCGTGCAAGAGCAGGAGCTAGAGTTAACAGGTCGCCAGTGACGGATGTCACTGGGGTAGCCCACCGAGGTGAACCACAACAGGGACCGGCTTAGGGAGAGGACATTTTTAGGCAGCTCGCAACCTCGGGCAGGTCTTTGAGCCCGGCCTCGTGCCTCACGAAACCCGAACATGTAAGATACAAGTGAGCTCGGACCCTTCCTGTGCGGAGGTCAAGCTCGCACCCGCTCTAGGTCTTGTGCTCCACGGCCATGAGGTCAATAAACAGTCCCCTCTGCCCACGTGGTCGCTAGCCACGTTCCCAGCCACCCTATGTCTCGCCAACTCATCATGACTCGCCTCACTTAACTACTAATGCACTACGTTCAATTAGACGTACACGCTCTCCGCTGGCTTCTCGACGCCGGCGAACCTCACTAACGCTCTACGGAAGAGCGCTCGGAAACCTCGTGTGTTGTTGGGTAAGACTGGTCCTCACCGCAGCACCTTACGCGTAGTTATATTTAGCTGCTTGATCTGAACACTTTCCGTCCAAATGGCAACTGAGAGGTGGGTGCGCCAGACCGCTCACCTATTGCTCTAGTTCCTAAGTCCCCGCCGCCTATACTACCGCCTATATCTACAGCTTGGACCTTGTCGAGCGAGAGCTACCCCCTCAAACTTCTCCTCACCTGCTCGTTCTGAATCCAATGTCGCCCCGCCTGGCGATCATACACCTTGCTCGTTCTCCTCTGTGTCTGCTCTCCTCGGGATCTTCCAGCACGTCAGCGTCCCTTCCAGCTTCAACGTGCCTTGATCCCCTCTGGTGGACGCAGCGCCTCTCGCCACGAACACCACACTACTCGTCACCGAACGCTTCGACTGTGCGTCACCTCACTCATCCCCGTCCTTCGTCAGGTCAACCGTTACTACCACGCGGTTCGCCACTGACATGGCGTGCTCTTCACGTGCCCAAAAACACCTATGTCCACAGCCACAATGCAAAAAATGCCCAGAACCCACTTACTCATCAGCTGACGAAACAGTCGACTATATCATTTGGGAGTGTGACAAAGCTCATGGGGCATGAAAACATTGGATGGACCATTGGCTAGCTAATGATACGGTAATTGGTGAAAGATAAGCATTACAATCATTCACAGCTGCAAGCCAACCGCCCGCGACTACCGAATAGTTTCTTGCAAGCGGCCAGCAATGTATACGTAGATGGACACCGCAACATGAAGTCGCTATGAATATATTGTGGATCATATGGTCTACGATAACACCAACGCTGCTATAGAGACTACGCTATCGACATGCCTTCAATAACCTCACTTCCAACATAAAGGGAACAGCGTCCATCATATGCGCAGCAGGAACTTTGCAAGTCATGGCTATTGCCAGTGCGTGGAAAGCGCAACCTGAAAGACGTATACACGGATATTGCTTAGAAACGTATCATGCAGTAATAAAACTTTCAATTCAGGAGGTCACGCACACAGCTTTTTCGAAATAGCGGCTAATGTACCACAAGCAAAGCTTTGTTCAAGGAGGATGATGGCTGGTCTACCGTTTAAATAGAAGGGGAAATAGAGGCTGACCGCAGCAGGATTAGTCGTGTTTCATGCTCAAGTGCTAAGCAACAATTATGGAAATGTCTTATTTAAGCAAGGCGCAGCAGACATAGCTATGAACGAAGAAGCTAGTATCGTTTTCTACACGTAGAAAGCCTGGAGAGACCACCTTCAGTCGAACACAGCTTTCCAGAAGGTACTTGATCAAACACAGAACAACTATACATGTTTTTTTGGGTCCAATGGGTCAAGCCAACACACAATATTCTGCGAGCAGCGAAGATGCTCGCTAGGAGGAAAGAGTCAAAGATATATATCTTATCAAAAGACAGCCGCAACAATGATCCAGTGAGTGTATTCCTAGAGACAGAGGCGAGAAGTCCACGAAGCGGCCCAACCACGGGGGAAACAATCCGAAAGACGACCACTCTGATTGATCGTCTTAGTGCATATGAGGCTTCTATTAAAAAAAATAAACCAAATAGAAGGATACCTTCTATATCTTATTATCGTTTGGCTTGGGGCCTGTCTGCTCGGATGTCAGACATTCGATTTAGGTTGATTCGATGATAGCATCGTTGCAGCGAGCGTTGATCGAATTGCTAGCCAAAAGACTGCGGACTCTACCAGCTCATACAATTCAATGTAATTAAGGTGTACAAGCAGCACAATCAAAATGGACAACCCCGCCCACCGTGATCCATACAGCGCCGAAAGCAGTTTCGTCACCGTTATTAGTTTGAGGTCACAACACCTTCATTTCCGCAGGACAATCAGTAGGATTAGATCCGTTGTTTGGAGCACCTAGGCTGGCGAGTTTCCCGCGAGCTCTTAAGTGATACACGTCTTATTGGCCGTTCCTAAGCGTCATGCACAGCTGCTCATCCCTGTTTCCTGAACAGCGTGAATTGCCAACATGTACTAAGCGGCCTCTTCAGCTGTTCGCTTCTGTGCAGCTGGAATACGTGGTTCTGAAGACACGTCGCCGACGTTATGACTGCACATAATTGGAGCTAATTAATTTTAATGCGGTTGCTCCCCTTGAAACCCTGCAATAGGCTGGATACTGAAAAAGAATATGCGAATTTATCACGTTGATTTCTATTTCGGATCAACCCAACTGCTCGCTGAAACCAAGTAAACTCTTTCAAAAGATGTTGTGGTGCCGGATGCGGAGTAGAATCAAGTATATTTGCGTAATTTATATTTACTGTGGGATATCTACCTTCAAAATCCAAAAATAACGCTGCTACTAAAACGATGAGCAAGGAAGTACATGCAGTACTTACAAATGTTTTTATACCTCTTCGACTTGACGTCAGTTGATACTTAGGGGCTTCCAGATTTGTTTAAATATCTCGCTGTATTGATATTATTTTTATTAGCTTTTAGCAAACGGAACTGTTGCTGGCCAGGATTATAAACATGGTAATGTACAGGATGGAAACCTGTATGCATCCAGGATTATGAAATACAAATTACTTTCCAGCCCTTCTAATTCCGACTTTTCTTATTTCCGATCGAGAGAAAAATGGGTTCTCATTTTGGTTTCGAGGTCGAGGATGAAACGTGTCTCAAGCGGCGGAGGCGGCAGCGCCGGAAGCGACCGCGCCGGCAGCAGCAGCGGTGGGACGAACGCAGGGGGATCAACGCGTACATCGGGTGCGTCTGGTGGTAGGCGAGTGTTTTCGCTCCCGTGTCGTGGCCCGGAACTGTCAGCAATGGAGACGAAGATAACTGGTGGTGAAGAAATAGAGATTTCGAGCGATTGTGGGGGCGGGACCGGCAGTGGACCGGATTATCGATCAGGTTCGGTAACAAAACGTCGACACTGGCCTCGTCCCTCTCAACTTTATAAATTTGCACTGGTGCTGTATTGTGGTGAAGGCTCGCGTCAAGCGCAGCTTCTTCTATGACCCGCTGAACCAAGGGCCATCCATGAAGGCATCCCAAGCAATCGCTACGCAGCTGAAAATTAGACTACTTGACTACGAAGTTATTCCGCAGAATAACCCCATCCAGTTCGACGGGTATAGCTGTGAAGTGTTCGTCGCATGGATGTTCATTCACCAAGTTTTTACCGGACCTCCCCTGGACATTAGCGAGGCGTCGTTACCACGGCGTAGGCTCGAGTTATTCTACTACCTGTTAGCGGGGAATCTACTCCCCGCTCAAACGAAAACTCAAGCTGCACAAGGTGAGGAGATGCAGGACAAGATGGCTGTACCAACCACTACTGAAGATCAAACAGGAGACGACGATGTTCCACCAACTCAAGTGGCGCTTCAGGTACACACAATAGCTTAAACTTGAAGAGTACACGTAGCTTCGTGTTTCAAATGCATCCAGTGTTGGATTTCATTTTTGTGTTTGACAGTCAGTATCTTGATCTCGAAAGGACTTAGATCTGTCCGGTCCGCAGTTAAACCAGGATTTTACCATGATAGCTTCATTATAATCATGTATAAATCGTGGATCAGGATTTTCACTGTATTATTCAGTATCTTTCCGTATCTTCCCAGGAAGGGTACTGAGTTAACACAATATTTTATTGTCCAGGATTAACCCTGTATCAATTCCTGGATATAACCATGATTATAATCTTGGACCGCAACAGCTGCCTTTAACAAATGAGGGGGCCATTTTTTGTTTGCTTCTACATAGAAAAAAAAAATAGCTAGTAATATAACCTATTAATAGGAGCGCACGGTCCGATCCAAAGCGAAAGGCTTTGAGGCGAAGCTCCTAACGCGCGCGTCTAGGTGAATGCCCCGAGCACACCGGCATTTTATCTACGAAGACACGGACCATCTAGGCTGCATTCAGCGAAAAGAGCTCGCTTGTCAGGGCTCGTTTTTATCTTATTAAAGCGTGTGTTCATTGGTCAAAATTGCTCACCGCAATGAAACCCTTTGGTGTGAACCACATCGATTAAATTTGTACAGTTATTGTAGCAATAAAACTGCAGGTATGATACAATACTCTTAAAATAAAGAAAAAGAAAAACATTATAGCCTCCCATACTCTATTTTGTTAAAGCTGATATTTGACATCGCGTGAAAATACACGTCGTTTTAATTGCAAGGTCATGAGTTCTTGTTTCCAATAACTTTGCAGACCATAAAGAACCCTGGTCAGATGCCCTCTATTATCAAATGACATAAACATCATTAATTAGCTCTTACTTGTATGAAAGCTATCTATCGCCGAGCCTATAACTAGAGTCACTACACTTCGAGGAGAATACTGACCCTCTATAAGCATTGCGTGAATCGATGTCTTCCGCCCTTGTGCTTGTATCTCCTTTTCGGATAGCAATCTCCACAAAGATCATAATCGAAGCAATCACTGTAAGCAGGACAAGAAAAACATACTCATGAGATTCATTTGTACTCAACACAAATAGAAACTCACGAGACGTACTTGCAGCGGTAATGGGTAGTCTTGCATCCCGAGCCAGGCTCTGCTTCTGTGTCAATCTGGCGTTCGCAACGATTGCTGTATTGTACACCAAACAGCTAGTCGTTAGACGATAAAAAACCATGCCTCAAACGCGTACGACCAACGTACCACACGATATCCTCCTCAATTTCTTCCTCCGTCTGCTGCTTCTCTTCTTCTTCGTCGTCATCGTCGTCATTCATACCAGCTGCTAGTTTATTTTTGCACTGGCACTCTCCAAAGCAATAGATGTGCTTGCCAGTTGCATCCTGATGCGATATTACCTGGCTGTTAATCACGAGTGGCTTGTTCTTCGCTGCTTGCGTCGCGTCTGAGCCAAGATCCCAACCAGCTTGGGCGCAAAGGTAGCGGATAATATCGTCGCAGTCGCCCAAGAGCGACATTTCGAACTCCTCTTCCTCGTCTTCCTGCTTCTTCCCGCCGCGTTGACCACTGACGCGACTCATTGTTCCACCCGCTGAGAGTTTTTTCGACTTTAATTTCTTTTTCTTCAACGCCGTCTTGTTGATCACAACTTGAGGGATGTGCGAGGGCAAATAACCTGGCATTTCCATGACGGGGGCAACTTTAAGTGACGTGCCCATAACGAGCAGTAGATCGGCCTGTAGCCGGTCCTTTGTGATCATGGTGCTCACTTTGTCGTCCAGAATTTCGCCAAAAAACGTAATCTCGGGCTTCAACACACCACGGCAGTTTGGCTCGGAGCACGAAGGGATGACCCCTGCCTGAATCACTGGCATCAACGTGCTCGTCGGCACGCGCTTCTTACAGCGCATGCAGGCCGAATAGGCAAAACTCCCGTGGCAAGGAATGCACCTCGTCACCCCGGCAGCTTCCTCTAGTCCGTCAATATTTTGTGTGTACACACGCAACAACTTCTTCTTGTCTTGAAGTAACTTCAAGAACCAGTGTGTAGGCGACGGTTTGGGTGAGTTGGCAAAGGCATTGCGCACCACTTCAAAGAACGGGGCCGGGTCTTCTCGAAAGTAGTCGATCTGGAAGAGACACTCTGGCTCTGGCAACACAACGTCCATGTTGCGAGCCATGGCGTAGATTCCGTCCTTGGAACGGAAGTCTGGAATGCCGCACGACACACTAATGCCTGCTCCGGCGATGACGACGATCTTCTTGGCCTTCTTGAGCACCTTGACAAAATCCCTGATGGAGTCCAGTGTCTTGCGAGGTAGAGCACTTAGCGAGTCCACCTTGGCTTCTTGAAGACACTCGTAGCAGCTCGTGTTGCCGAGGATCGAGGTCGACTGGAAGGGCTTGCCACACGCCTGGTGGTACCTGTATCATTATATGTGAAAAGAGCATTGTAATAATTGCGTTTAGAGCGTTTCCTACAGGTATTTGCTTGTTCCAAAACAAATTGATGACCTACATCCTGGAACAGCTGTCACATTGTAGCATGGTCTTTTTGTAGGTTCTAGGCGGCCGATGGCAGATAAAGCACTCGGCGCCTTGTTTGCGCCGCTTCTTCTTGTAGTTGGAGCCGTAGCTCTCGTCGTCCGAGTCGTCGTCCGAATAATCGGGGATTTGTTGGCCCGAGGATAGAACGGCATAGTCCACGTCAGTTCTTTTGGCCTTTCGAGTGGGCCGCTCGGATAGCGCCATCATTATCTGTTTAGGCTGTTTTTTCGATAAAAAAATGCTGGACAGGTCGCTCTGTGAAGGTGAATCTGGGAGTGAGGCCGGTACAGAGGGGGGCTATCGTCGTTTTTTTTGTGTTTGGTTTTTCTTAGTTTCCAAGAGATTCGATTAAGTACGATTACACCCAGACACTTGGAGCTAAAAAGGAGAGGCGAGCGCTACAGACCACCGGTTGGGATGGGAAGGAACTGGAAAGCGACGACAACAATGTAGCACGATGATAAACATGGCAATCAAAAACTCTGTTTTATTCTAATTTTGCGCGTCGAACAAAGAGAGTTTGTAGTTTCTGGAGCTCAAACTGTCCGTGAATTAATGCCACGAGCGATACACAGCTACGTACTTTGCTGTCAAACCATCTTTTTCGGGCAACGGCCACGTGGGGAGCGATTCGCGATCGGCAGGAGCTGTTGTGCTTCTTAATCGGTGATACGCCGATTTTACGAGCCAAAATTTGGACAGCAGATATGTGTATCAATATTATAAATTGCTCTATGGGTAGAGAAGACTTTGAAATTCGAGCTTGTCTAATCATCTACGCTCAATTCAAGCTACTGTCCGCAGCGAGTAGTTGTGGTATAGTCATGTACGTACCCAACGTGTACACTCTCACAGAACGGAGATGAGCGGAATCCAGGAAATCACGAATGCACTTCCGAGCTACATTTATAAAATACTTTATTGAAATGGTACGAAAAGCGATTCATGAGGCTCGCTCATCATGTAGACGTAGTGTTTTACCTAATCATGTTGTGCGTGGATGTTTTGGGCCCTTTTCGATACATATTAGCAGCAGGGATTTGTACTACCGTACAGTACATGTACAATATTTGCCTGGAGTCTATTTAATTTATACATTGCTTTTTAGCTTTCCCAGGTTGCATCACTGGGGGCGAGGCTTACCTAATTCTTCTCCGAGAACTTCTTGATCAGGCGACCCAAAGGTTAAAAAAAAAATCTTGTCATAGTTGTTTATGGAAAAATCATTTTCTAAGTTTATATATTCATATGGCGGGGGAAGCTGGGGAATCGTATCGAACAGGGTATCGGTTTTGGCAGCATTGTACAACAATAGTGGCAATGTGAGCGACACGCTCTTTTTTCGAATTTCATGCACTGGCTTGTTTTTCCTAACTGAACATCAAGAATGATCCAATGTGAGTATAACCCAACAAACACGAGCAGTCTCGCTGTCACTTGGCCTTTGTTAGCAGCTACCGTGTCAGAACTCGTGGAGTATAAATCAAAACCGCCACTCACTATTATATCTTCAGTGAGCGGTGACCTTGAGTTCGAGAACAATCCGATCGTCCAATCATTTGTGGAGAGCATGCGCACCGGTACATCAACAAGTAGGTATCTATTAATAGTGGTACTTATCAAATATTTATTGCCTTTTTAAACGTCGTCAGTGAGGAGCTACCCAGAGTTCAAATGCAAGGAAATACTCTTATTGTTGCAGCTATAGAAAGTTAGTGCTTACTTGCAACGAATAATTAGACAATACGTCGACAACCTCTTTCATTGCTGCATTCTTGTCCAGGGACGTAAAATTTCAGGTGTCGACCTAGTCTGGATGTTGGGACAGCGATAACTACGGATATTAACATACGGACGTCAACATGGGAAACTAAAAAACGAGGCTGGATAATACTGTAGTATGGTGTGTACGATAAGAAGAGTCTTTTATTTTCGAGCAATTATCACTGCACAGAGCCAGCGTACTGTAGTCTTCTTCGCCAATTAATACTGACCGCAGACTCTGAAGTTCCCACAGCGCTTGCCACGTGGTATCGTATGATGTCGTCAGTTGCAAGGTACTTCGGGTCAGCAAAGTACAAGAACGAGATACATATTCTTCCATGTTGAAATAAGTACAAGCGTCAAAGCCATTGAAAACAAATATTTATCTCTTTAAAGGGGGTATCATATTATTCATGTCAAACAGTGGATTACGAACTGCTCCAGAGAACAAGCTTCAATTTAACAGTTGGCGACATTTAAGAGAAGAAAATTCGGGCAAAATAACAACCACGTACTTAAACACAGGACGATGATATTCCTACGACACCATTGCCAGCTGGTCGATAAACTGATCGCTAATGCTGCTTTTGATGAATGAGTTCGGCGGTCCTTTCATCTGTAGGTAGTTTTAATGAGTTAGGCACGAATTTGTACTAATAAAGCAGTAGGTTCTAGCCATCCTTTACAAGGAAACAAACAGCACCATAACATACAAGCTCACCTTAGGCGCTGCGCACAAGACAACATTATTTAGGAACGAAGCGTTAGGGTTGAGCTCATGTGCCACCATCGCTGATAGAGTTTATCAATGCAAGCACGGAAACCTTTTCGTTTTTTAACGTAGCGTACCGTGATCCAGGGGGGGGGCTATTTTTATTCGTATTGCAATGGAGTGGCAGTACCATCATTTATCTTTGACGTCCATGTAAAACAGCAACAGCAGCAAATTTGCTGGGCGTTCAAAGCGCTCTGCAACTTTCCACTTACTTTGATGATGATTCGCAACCCCCAATCATCCCACATCTCGCTCGGCGAGCGCATGGGTTCGAGCGACTCGCTCGCAAATCCAAGCTCGTGTATTGCTGCGAATACAATAGACCAACACTACCGCGCAGCATTAAACTCAGATAAATAATTTTGGTACTATAAATTTTCTTATTTGAATAATGCAGTTTGCACTGCAATAAGATTGACGTCGATCAGTTATAAAGTTCGGACTGCGCACTGGAGGTGCCGATGGAGAGCTGGAATGCTACGCAGATGTTCGTTTTGTAAAGCGTTTAGTGGCTAATTACAAGAGTCTAATATATTGCTGATCCTCCATTATTCTTTTGAAGAGGTTAACCCAAGCCTGTGATTCCATTCTATTATATTCTTGAAATCAAGGTTCTGAATTGCGCCGACTGATTTCTAATTTTATGTAAAGGCTTTTCAAAGGGTGAATATTTTGTGGATTTACAAAGCCTCTCTAAAATGGTTTTGGCGACGATAAAAAGGAAAAAAAATACATTCCTCTTGTCTGCATATCACTGCAGAATGTTGCGAGAAGTCTGCAGATACCTGCCTAACTGCCTAACATGGTAAACTCGGAGTAGCTACCATTTCCGAAAATCACGACAATGTCATGCATAAAATGCAGATGCTGCTTTAGGTCGTAGCAGGAGTAGTATACGCTTTAAGGCGAGTTCATTTTCTGAACGAATGCACTATTTTTTTAGTCAGTTTGGACCTCTTCCCCGCTAAATGTACCATCCACCTAAAATTTTAAATTATTATTAATAACGTGGGAGCAGCATCTTGGCTATTATTAATAATATATGAAGGTAAGGTCAACGATTAGTTTAGTAATGTTTTTATATGTGTCACAAATTATCTATGAGATTAGGTCAATTTGAAACTGTGGACACTCGATAGCTCGTGATTTAGGCTTTCCGCTCTCTTCTACTCATCCGGAGGGCCCTCGCATAAAAAAGAGCAGTAAGGAAAACTACAGTTTACCGGTATCTGTACTTGTAAATACCAGTATAAATCGTTCCCGTTGCAGAGACCGTTCCCGTTGCAAAAACAAAAACGTTTTACTTTCAGATTCGAGGCAAACTCATGAACTCGGTCACCGGGCCCTTGCTGCCGAATGGATATCTGGCCGTGGACCTCGTCCTACCGGATCGCGTTATACCTACACTACTTGCCGAAGCTAAGGCCCGTACGTACACTGGAGTTTTCAATCGTGTCGGAGGTGGCGACGACTCCTACCGCCAACAGTCTCGCGTGGATAGTGCTGCGTTGTCGCCAGCTCTCTTGAAGCTGCGTAAGGCGCTGGCTGTAGTCATTGGAATGCTGCACCCTGGTTGGAAGCCAGGCGTATTCTCGTTCATGCGCTCGAAGCCAGGCGGAACAGAGCAGGAGGCCCACCAGGACTCCACGTTCCACGGTAGCGGCCAGTAGGTGGGGTAAATCTCATTACATCGCATTTGAAGGTTCATATTGCAAATTTCCTTTTTTTTTAAATTATTGGAAGTTGAAGTAAAATTTAAAGTTGAAGCTGCAAGAAAACATATATTTAGACGTATAGCTTCTGTCTGGTCTACTGCTTCTCGTTTGGCTGCTGGTCAGTAAAGGGGATACGGCCGGCAAAACCCCATGAACGCGGTGGTAGGAAAGGGTCTTCGAAACTCAAAATTACGTCTCCTTCGTGGATGCCGAACTGTTGCATATCTTTTGCCTTGATTCTTTCGATGCTGGGCTTGTCGTTTCCCCTTTCGAATCGTGCGGATTGTAGCTGGTTCTTGAATTCTTGGCACAGTGTGCTTATCTTGATCCCTATAAATCCACCAATGCTTGTCGAAATCATGAGGAGCTAAGAACCGTTGCCCGTTGGACTCGACGATCGAAATTAACTCGTGCAGGCATGGTCTGCCGTGTACGACACGGAAAACACCTGAGCACTTGCTACGCTGAACCCCGCTGTTTACTATCTTCTCCGCATCTTTCCACAGCCTCTCTGTTTCTCCAAGAGCTACTCGTGTGATAATACGAACTACTCTGGAATAACGGTTCTTCTGGAATATGTGAGGTGCAGTGACTGCGTTTTGCTCCATAAGTAAGCGCGTCTCCGACGCCGCGATCGTCCACCAACTCAGAAGCTTCTTAAACACCGTGTAAAAATCTCCTTGACTCGATTTTAATTTGCTCTTGATCTTGGCATGCGTTCCTTCAACTGTGGAAGTATCGCGGACACCAAAGTGCATGTACTTGTTTGTACAGTGTTTGACAATCCTTGTCTTGTATTTCCACCAATGCAGATCGAGGTAATCTGACACTGGTTTGCACTTCTCAATTAGATCCTCGCGCTTGGCATTGAAGTCGGCTTCTGTTTCGTCGTCCACAGCCTCGTAGAAACTCGCCATAAATGAGTTCGTTTGCCAAGAATTTTCCTTCTTTGGTTGACCAGGAGCAGGGTTCTCAACGTCCACCTGACCTAAATGCTTTCTTGCCATGGC